TCGTTGGCTTTTCTCTCCTCTGCTAAATAAGGTTCGATTTTTTTTAATCTGGGTCTTCCTCCTCAATTATGTAAATAAACACTCATCTTATTTTCATATATTACACCTTTAGGGTCTATATATATGCAAGGGCTTGAATTAAAATGTAAGGTGGAATAAATATATTCTTATTTTTCTTCTGCCCACTTTGATTCTTTTGTTTTTTTTTTTTTTTTTTTTGGCATCAAGAAGTTAGAGTTTTCACATGTTATTAGAGCATGAATGTATCTGAGTACCCTAATCACCTCTGGTTCTTCTCCACCACTGCTTCTTTCTTTCTAGTTCTTCTTTTCCCAACCAGTTTCTTCCAGCAGCCAGGTTCTTGATGGATAACTCTTCCCCCACCTCCTTCCTAGCAATTTCACAATCAGCAAGTTCTCTCCACTTAATTCAAGCGACCTCCTTTCCCAATTCCTTAGACATAATGAAAACTATCCAATATGAGAGATAAAAATTCAAAAAATATTAATGGTAAATGGTTTTAACTCTTTGCTAGATCCCAACATCCCAACCCTTCAGGATTCGGTCAAGATGAAGTTGGCAACCATAACACTCAGAATTTCAGCAAACAGAAACAATCTATTTCAAGAAAGGACACACTGCATCCACCTGTTGGAATAGAGCGGGCTTACAATATAAGCTCGCGGTTCCAGCTCAAAATAAAAAAACTTCACACCAATATTCAATCCCATTCACAAGGAAAAAATATTACATCAGTATTACGCATCTAGAGTAACGTGCGTAGCCAATGAAATCACGCCAGAGAAAAAAAACGGCGCAGTAACATGGGGAATATTCCCTCCCGTGTTATTCATGTGTTATTGTGTGTTATTCATGTGTTATTGTGTTATTATAACACCAGGAATATTTTCAGGACACAATAACACATGAATAACACACAATAACACATGAAAACTGTGCCGCTTTTTTCTCTGTCGGGAATATTCTCCGTGTTATTCAGGTGTTATTATGTGTTATTCATATGTTATTGTGTCCTGAAAATGTTCTTGGTGTTATAATAGCACAATAACACATCAATAACACATGAATAACCAACAATAACACATGAATAACACGCAATGACACATGAATAACACGCACGTTTTTTTTCCCTGCCGCGCGTGATGTCGTGGCGGGATTTCATTGGCTACGCACGTTATTTCTACGTGCGTAGTATTGATGTAATATTTTTTCGTTCGTTAGGCGTCAGTTTCAGCTTCAGTAGAAAATTAAGAAAGCTCTCAAACAACAACAACAACAAAGAGGAAGAGGAAATTACAATTAATAAAAAATTACCGTTAGTATGAACGATATCATACAAACTAGTAAGCGTATTTTACTCACTCCAGATAGTAACTTACTCTTCCCTCCTCTCTTTGTATGCACCTAATATTTCTCATAATTTAGTATATGTAAATGATTAAACTTGTGATAACAACTGTCAAATCACTTTTACTCCTAATTACTTTTATGTACAAAATCTCAAAATCGGGAAAAAGCCTTTGATTGGTCTTGTTAGTCAAGTTCTTTACCTTACCACTGCCTTGCATCACTCCAATGTTCCTTCCAACACATGGCATCATCCACTCTAGCACCCTCATTACAAGATCATCAGTGTTATTTCAAAACAAAATCCTCAATTTTAGATTTCTCAAAATTATACGGTATGTAAAAATTGTTTGCAAAAATAAAAGTCACTAACTACCTTTTACTTCTAGAATTACTTTTTATTGTTTACTTGATCTGATTCATTCATATGTTTGGGATCCATTCTCGTATAGTTCAATAGATGGCTACATTTTTTACATTACTTTCAGTGATGCTTACTCCCGCTTTTCATGGGGCATTCCCATGAAACATAAATCTAATGTCACCCAACATTTTATTCATTTAAATAAATACATACAAACTCACTATAATAAAACCCTATAATTTTTAAGATATGACAGGGGTGGTGAATACCGATCACAGAAATTGTTAGACTATCTACAAAATCATGGTTTTTATACACCAATTTAGTAGTTTGTACACCCCAAAACAAAATGGTTTGGTTTTACATAAAAATCAACATCTTGTAGAAACCGCATGCGCTCTACTCAACACGTCTCTTATTCCATCACAATTTTGGATTGATGTTATTCTTACAACAAACTATCTCATCAGTACGTTACTCTCTCCTACCACTCATTACATCTCTGCTTTTCAACTATTAAACAATTCTTCACTTGACTATCAACACTGAAAAACCTTTGGGTGTGCCTACTTTCCTTGGCAACCTTCCCTTGCCACTAATAAATTCAGCCCGAAGGCTCAAACGTGTACCTTTCTTGGATGCAATTATCATCATAAAGGTTACAAGTGTCTTCATCTCAGCACCACAAACTCATTATTTTTCGCCGCGTTCACTTTATCAAAGAATATTGTTTTTTTTGTCTCTTTTTATTTTTAAAGGAGCTGCTAGTTTGTTCATCGACACATACTTTCTTTTTTTCGAATAAGTTTCTCTTTCGGATCATGTGAATGATTAGCAGAAGAGAAAAACTAAAAAATACGGACATACGATAAAGAAGACAAACAATAGAAAGAATATGAACAATCTACGTGTGATAAACCTTGTAAGGATATGACAAATATGTCCCCCAGAAAAGATAGGGCGGAAGCATCTTAGACCAATATATGCGAAAGAAAACCTACGTAGACTACCCATAACTAGATATTCAGATATGTTTGCCTGTGCTGGTTCTAAGGTGATCCAAAGAGGGCATATCTCATTTGTTTAATTACATCTTTGGGGTTGCCCAATAATACTCTTGATTCAAAGAAGTTTTGCTGGCATTAGTAATGACTACTAGCATAGAGCTTTCAAAGGGTAGTTATTTCACAAAGAATTGCTTTGACATTTTCAAAGCTCACGTTGAGCAACGTGGCAGAGAGTGTCTCTCACAGTCCTACATGGGTAACAGACTCATTGACATACGGAGCCTGCGAAATAACCGAATCATTCTGACGAAAAATCCCGATACGTCAAAGTACATCTAGTTCTAAGGGTAGAGGACAAA